TCATCTATTGATCTATTTGGAATCACAGAACACTTCCAAATTCTTACTAGTCTTTTGTCAGGTCAGTTTTAATTCTTTGGTGTGTTTAGGTAACGAAGAATTTGTTGTATGCCACTAATGTTCTTTTCTTTGACAATTATTGAACTGGCTTACGTAAGTGGTAGCAAAGGCTAAATCAGGCATTGTTCCTTCTGCCAGGTACAGAAGCCCTCCAACAGCCTATTTTAGTGCTTCTTCAGCATCCAACGTATTATCCTTTTCCTTAATGGCTGGTGTATTTTTCATACCTGGGTCTAATGGTGCTGATGATCCTTTAGCATCTAGCATATCGGTTGTTTCCAAGAGCTCACCAGCATAGACACTTTGATTGAGAGTCAGTGAGCCATCGTCCCTTCCGCTTATCCTAAAAGATGGTGATGTATTTTCCCCAAGTTTGTTTTTAAATGTGACTGCAATATTGTCCTTAAATTCCTGAATGACACAGACTTTGTTGAACATCACAAGCAGGTCATCCACATATATACCTATGATTAACTTCTTTTCCTTATTGAAGTGAATTCAAGGGTCTGTTCTGCATCCTGTTAGATTAGTTGACTTTTCAAATTTATCCAGGCAGATGTTCCATTCTCTCCCAGATTGACTGAGATGACTGTTGGATTCCATAAAGACTTCTTTTAACAAGCAAACTTCTCCATGTGGTTTCTCATGCAGACTTACCGGTGGCTGTTCCATAAAAATTGTCTCGCTTAATTTTCCATTTAAATAGGTTGCAGTAATATCCAACTGATGAACCTGCCAGTCTTGCTCGACTCGGAATGCTAATAAAGTTGTAACTGACTTTGTTTTTATTACAGGAGAAAACGTCTTATTGTAGATAATTCTTTTGACTTGGGTATAGCCATGAGCAGCTAAACGAGCTTTATGTCTTTCCACTTGTTCGCCTTTATTAAGTTTTCTCCTGAAGACCCACTTGCATTTTACAACTTTTTTTTTTTTTTTTTTTTTGTGTGTTCAGGCACTATGTCCCAAGTTTCATTTCCGTTTGAATTTTCCAACTCTTCTTCTATGCTTAACTTCCATTCTTCTGCATCTGGACTAGTTAATGCCTCTTCCAAAGTTTCAGGATCTTTCTGAAAAACTTCCTTGAGTGTTGAGTCTAAACTGTTCCTCTTCTGAACTGGAACATGACCACAGCAGGCGAATTCAATGATGTTCATATGTTTAATTCTAGGTTTGTTTCCCATCCATAATTCATAAAGACTTGAATTAGGAACTGAAAACTTGCCCATCCTATTCAGTATGTAAACTGAAGTGCTAATGAACTCTGCCCAGAAGAAAGCTGGGAAGTCCACTTATTCATTCAAATATTTGAGAGTTCTGGCCATTTCAAGAACTGTTCTGTTCTCGTTCAGAACTGCCATTTTGTTGTGATGTATATGGAACTGTGCACCTCTGCAAGATTCCATGCTTGTCCAAAATCTTTCGAATCGCTTGGTTGTCAAATTCTCCACCTTTGTCACTGAAGATTTAACTGTAGACCCTAAGTTCTTAGCATGAGTAGGAAATTTTTAAGCACATCCTTTACATCTGATTTGTGCTTTAAGGGGAAAAAACAGTATTGAAATTAGGTGTAGGCATCTTTGAAGATTCCTAAATGATTCATCAAATAGCCCATAAGTATCTGTTGAGAGCAGTTCTCCAGCTTTTGTAACCTCTTTTTCTGTTTCCAAACTTGGTGGGCTTTTCCATATACACAGGCTTCACTTATTTCATATCCGACTTAATATTCAACTTTTTCTCAAGAATTGCTTTTACGTGCCTTTTATCATGGTGACCCTTATTGTTCATGATAAAGTTGATTCATTATTCTCAGTCACATTTATGTCAGTGTAAGTTTCAGAGACTAAGGTGTTCATCATGGCTCTGAAGAGACCCCTGCCAGCATTTATTAATCCACACAGAATCATTTCGCCATCTATTTTTAAATAAGAGTCCTTAAATCCTGATTCAAACACATTGTTCTGGTTTCTGTTTTGAGTTGCTAACAGAGAAAATAGATTTTTACTTATTTCTGGAACATACCAGACATTTTCAAGATTTATTATTTAATTCATCCTGTTTACAATAGTCATATTTTGATAGTGTCTTTTCCAATTGCTGGTAATGACTCCATTTGGTGCAGTGATGCAGTGGGGAAGCTGAAATTTTTCAAAGTAGTGATTGTTATTGAGGATGTGTTTTGAAGTCTCAATGTCAATAAACAGATCAACAGAATTTGTTTCAGTGGAAAATATTGCCTCGTGTATTGTTAGGAGTATCATATTTGCAACAACATTATTATTACCTCCTTTGGTTGGCCCTGTATCTAGACTAGGTTTTGGAGGTTTTCCATCAGCTACCCGCTTTCATATTCTGATCAAGTGTCCTCTTGGGAGGCAATAATTACACTTGTGTCTGTTTTTCTTGTTAGGAGCTGATTTCTGTTTATATTTTCAAATTTGCTATCAATGCTTCCTGATCTAAGGTTTCTACAGAATTTGGATCTTTCCTTAAATCTCTTTTATGGGTGCACAGTTCTGTGGTTAATTTGTCTAGAGCTCTCTTTTCATCACTATGAAGTAACCAACTCGATTTGAAAGTATGATGACTGGGAGGTATTTTACCAATTAACAGCATTTCTGGGAGTCTGTTTTCTCTCTTTTCGAGTCCACTATTCATTTTGTTCCATAAATTCTTCAGTTTTGATAAATGAACTGTCATATCATCATTTGACCAACTGAATGTAAAGAATCATAAGGATATGTCGTAAAGTTGGTTATCGGACAAATCTTTGAATATTTTGTGAAGTTCGAGCCAAATTTCTCTTGCACTGTCAAATCTCAATACCTCTTCTAAAGTATCTTCGGTCATGCAATCGTAAGAACCATCATAGCACAATTATTGGTTTTGTTAGAAATGTTCACATCATCTCTGTATCTCTTTTGAATCTCTTCAGTTGTGGCTTGATCAGGCTGCAATGGCTTTTTCAATTTTCCTTTCACAACTTTTAAAGCATCTTCATGATAACTTAGTACAAACTTAATTTGATATTTCCAAATGGATCAATCTTTTTTTCTGCATAATGGCTTAACTGATATCTTTGCAGATTAATCTGCTGATGTACTAGAGGCTTAAGAACTGCCATGTTAGGCTTACAGACTGCCGCATCAGTCTCATGAACTGCAACTAACTTGGTAAAAGTATATTTACGTGTACCCCTTTGGCGACTTTTGGCAGTACATGGATACCGAGGCATCCTAGTCAGTGCGCACTCCCTTGACTTAATCTATGTACACGTCGACCTATTTTCTCTTAAAAAAAAAAAAAAAAAATCAGAGAATTGCACAAACTTGGCATTGGACATTCCCTTGACTTTTTCCATGTACATATCAAAATATTTTCACTTAAAAAGTCAAAGAAGCACCCAATTCTAGGTAAAAGTATATTTACGGAACATTCAACTACTCAGTTTACCATAAATGAAACAACTTGGCGATAAATGAAACAACAACTTCGCGATAATACAAGGGGTACCCTTCAGTTTACTCTAATCACTAACTTTTATCTCTGCTTCGAAATTCTTCTATGTAGTTAGAGCATCCTTGGGCCATAACCTGTTAGAGTCTAACATTACAAATGGAGACAAAAATATAAATATTTGTATTAACGTATATTTATTGAGCATGCAAAAAAAACATGGTATTAACAACTGAAACCATAACCAGAAAGAAAATGTAAAAAATGTGTTGCCACACAAGTTGCAAAAATAGAATGGGAAATATAGTCACAAATATTAAAGTTATTTGTAACAGATTTCACATCAACGTTTATGTTTGACGTTGTGTGTTGCCCTGTTAATATAATGTACTATCACATCATATAATTAAAAATCTTTATTATACGCTACACAACCTTCAGGTCTTGAGTTACCTTATAGTTGACATATATAATAAAGTTCTTCACAGTAGCCAACTTCTGGGTAATTTATACTGAAATATGCTTTAGCTTGTTTTGCTTAACCAGTATATAAGTTTGAGAGTAATGAACTCAACTGGGCAAGCCCAACAATTATGAGTTTAGCAGTCCTCTGAACTAGATCACCTATTATGAATTGTCTTATAGTTTGTTGGTTGTTGTTATTTTAATAACCAACTTCATCATGATAACAGGAAATCTGTTATTTTGTGAAGAATCTGTCATCTTGTATAGACAATCATCTACACGATAGAAATCCACTGACAGTATCTCAAACCATAGTGTGTAATGCCAGGATGTATTAATGAAAGCAATAAGAGCTGTGTTTCCAAATGTATAATCTTAAGATTCTTTTCTGATTATGTGTATTATGATCAACTTAACTTACCAGGTATACTAAGCAGTTGTCATTTTGACATTAATTTGTGAAGAGCAGCTTATGATTTTAATTTATCCACAGTAAATATTGTGTAGCATTTTTTGTAAGCTATCACAGCCAATTATATTGCATCAATGTTTTTTCATCTGCTATTTTGTTAATTGAGTATTATTGCTGAGAAAAACATAAATAATTTCATTTATGCACAAGTTCTTTTATTCCCTAAAAAGCATCAACTTCTTTTGCAACCACAACTTAATTTCACTACTTTGCTTTGAGTGCTTCTATTTCAGGCTGATAGATGAAAAATCTGATTACTGCCTTTTTTCTCCCTTTTGTTTAAAGTTAATCATTGTAAATTTAAATATTATAAGTAATTTAAACTGTCAGTTTTAATTTTCATGTTTTTTTTCTATAATTACAGTATTCTGAATTATTTTCAATGAATTTGACACAGAATCATTTAAAAAAGTTTCAAAAATTGGGCAAATATTTCAAAATGTACATATGACTACTAAATAAATATAACCATTGTTTTTTAGCATTAAGTTTACAGTTTGTTTTCTTTTAAATATTTTCTTATATTCATTCTCCTTTAATTTTGAAGCTAAGCGACTGTTACTGGTGAAGTAGCAACCTCTTTGTTCAAACCATTTGGGCTGGAGCCATTTTGGACAACACTGTTGTCAGGAAAACCTGTGAAAAATATTTTGGCAATTAAAGGTAGAAATATATAGCATCTTAAGCAAAAGTATTCATTGTGATACATATATGTATGTATTTATATCATAATGCATTTACTTATTATGTTATTTTAAATAATTATCGTTTGAATTTATTATATTTACAAATATTTACACAATATTTACAAATAGATGCGTGCTACCTTTTGATAACAATGTATATGAAAGTCATTTCCTGGGCAAAGTTTTCACTGTTCCGTTTTTCACATATTATATACTAAGATTACTTGTAGTTGTCTAGGTAAGATAGTGGTTAGTAATGTTGCTACTGAGAGAGGGTACAGGTTTGAATCCCGGAGAAGGCATGGACATTTTTAAATGTGTAGCATCTGTGTAGCATGTAGGCACTCAAAAGATACAGCAAGCCTAAGTCCTGTCAAGTAGTTTGGTAGTAGGGAAGGAGGGGTGGAAGTCTCTTGGACCCGTCTCCTGGAGGCTTTCCTTCAAACCTGAAGTGGAACTGGACAAAGTTAATGTCACCTCTATGGTGCTCAATGCTCATACAGAACATAAACTTACACTCTTTACCATAATACAGTACAAAGTCTCTAATCCGGAATGATCTATAATCCGGACCTCAAAGTAACAAACTTACGCATGTGCTTAAAACTTTGCATGCGTAGCGGATGCGCGTTTGATGCGCGCGTCCGCTACGCATGCACATAAAGCCAGTAAAGTGTTTACCCATGTGTGGCTTCCGATAGTGAAGAAAGTAACAGAGAACGTTATTGAAAACGAAAAAATTTCAATTGACAAGTTAGTCGGTATTCTTCACACAGCAATTACAGGACTTAAACAGTGGAACTTTGTAACTGAACAAGAAATTATGTCTGTTTCTAGAATAAAAGAGAAAGTATTAGCACAAAAAAACGAAGCAACTTAAACAATTTACATTGATAGAAATGTTTACTAAAGTAAACATAAATATTAAGCTTTTGTTGCAAGTTGGCCCCTTAATGCTAATTGACTACGAAGCTATCAAGGGCCTAAAGTACGGCCGAGTGTAATAATAGCTTACGAGAGAGTAGCCTAAAAAGGTTGACACATGCTAGCCGGAATATCTGGTATCTCTCTCACTAAGACAGTAGAACTTCGCAGTTAAATACCACTCTTCCTCATTAGCATTCAGACGTGATTCTAAAACTACGTTCTGGCCGGAAGTGGTAAGTTTAAATTAAGAAGTGATAAGAAAGGAAGTTTACCTCATAATTTAACTTTTATTAAAATTAACAAAATCCTTACATAACTCCCGACTAGACTTTAAATAGTCGAAAGCTAAAGGTCGGTCTCTAAACGACCTTGTTTAAGACTTTAAAGTCTAAAAACTTTCTAATGTTAAACTATACACTTCTAACTCTTGCATTAACTAGATTTCACTTTAAACTTCTGTTCTTAGGGTCAACTTTACAGTAATTCTAAGGCTAGACTAAAGCTAGAATTTGACAAAAAATTGAATTTTTGATGCAATCATCTGCTTCTTTCATTTAATCCATAATTTATTCTGCTACTTTAGTCTTGGTCCTTCCATATCTGGAAGGAAACAGTATTAGTACTGGTGTTTTACAAAAATTTCCATATCCCTTACAATTACTCGTTTATTGCACCATTTGGCCCTCGCACACTTTCATTCATACTTCTTTTTTCCCAATGCTCTCTAGAAATTGTTCTGAAATGTACTTAGGGTACTTATGTAACAAAACTACCGCTACACAATATCTAACATTGTTAAATTTGACATACTAGACCTCACAAGACTTCCTACACACCAACACTTTCCTAATGTACTAAGTGAAAGCTTAAATTTTCTTAAAGTGTTAGCTGGAGAGCCTAACATTAAACACACATATATATATTCTAAAACATTCAATTCTTTCACAAATTCATTTACATGGAGGCCAAAATTTGTCTTTTGTGCAAGTTAAGTTTACGACACTTTAACACAGAGGTAACATTTCTACTTTAGCATAAACATTTAGATTACATCAAAAGTCATAGTTGCTGAATTACAATTTACCATCTTTACACGAAATCTTAACTTTAAGTTAAAGATTTCAGTATTTAAAGAGTCCAACTAAACATATTCACAATTTAATTCTTGCAACTTGCGAGTTCTTAACAAAAATATTTACCGCTTGTTTGCTCACTCACCAAAACACTCTCTAGTGATGGTGTGCTGACGGGATGCATAGTCTAGTTGGGGCAGGCAATTTGTGCTGCTAAACCTAACTTTCGAAAAAAATACACTTAAATTAAAAATGTGGTCCATTTGTGCCAGTTTTTGGCACATTATGAGAGGAGCACTCAGGGTGTTGTCAGAATTAATTTGAAAACTGTCATTATACTTCCCTTGCTTTTTGAAGCATAAAAATTGTTGCTAAACAATACACAAAATATGCACCTCAGTGCTAGCCAAACAATAAAACATATAATCATCATATCGCCAAAAATTAAAAAGAAATACACTCACTTCCAAAAGTTAAGCAGGGAGATGTAAAATGAAAATAATAATAATAATAATAATAATAATAATCATAATCAAATACTGCTTTGATTGACACAAAATTCGGCAGGAAAGTAGCATATATAATTTATGCATAAAACGAAATCAGTAATTATACAGAAATGAAAACTATATTAAATGTTTGTAGTTATCAGATAATGACATACTGGAAGACTTAAACAAAATTATGTATAAAGTGAAAATAAACAGCATAAAATTAAAAAAGGATTCCCCCCTCATCTGTATACAAAGTTTACACAAGGGTTGTGATCTCCCCGTCATCTTTACAAATTTTGCATCTGACCATGCTTTTAGGTGGTCAAGCCACCGCAGAATTAAGCAATCGCCATTCTTCTTGTAAAGCAGTTTCCAGTTCAATAAGAGTGGCTGGAGGTGGGAAACGTGAAGATGTACAGCACGGCCGAGAGCATCCCAAAAGATTTTCAATGGGATTAAGGTCAGGCAAATATGCTGGCCACGCCATACGCGCAATTCCTTCACTCTCCAGATAGTAATCGACGATGTCAGCTCCTTGGGGACGTGCAGTATCGTCCATTAAAACAAAAGTAGGGTCAACTGCTGCAGCGTACAATCTCACAATGGGTTCTAGGACTTCATTTCGATACTGGACAGCCGTCAAAGAAGCCCATGTAAAGATGTGCAGGTCGGTGCAGTATCCTAATGAAATCCCTGTCCACACCATAATGCTTCCACCTCGGAATGAGTGATGTTTTGGGACTGATTGCATGTTTGTTGTTCATGTCATATCTTTATACGCTTGTCTTCTGGCTCCAGAGCAAATCTTGACTCATCAGTAAACATGACATTGCCCCAGTCAGACACATTCCAATTGACATGTTCCCGGCACCACTGTGAATCGTGCCCCTCTTGATTGGACGAATAGAGGAACACAAACTCGGTACCCGGGCGTGTACAATCCACTCATATGTAATCTTCAGCATACAGTAGCTGCAAATATCGCCTTACCAATGGAGACTGTAACCATAGATGTCACACGTGTGGAGGTCAATCTGTGATTCCGCTTGGCTACAATAGCAATATATCGATCTTCCGCAGGGGTTGTAACCCTTGGGCGACCGGCTACAGGCCTTCGGACAACTGTATGTGTGGTTTGGAATTGTTTCCATAAACACGAAATTACAGAATGATGAACGCCAAAGAAAAGTGCAACATCCGTGATCGACTGTCCTGCTTCAATGCACCCCACAGCACGCCAATGCTCAGAATCTTCCATTCGTCTTCTGGAAGTCATAGAAGCACACATGTCTTGAAAACAAATTGTACGAAAGCTTTAAACACCTTCTATCAGCAGTTACAATCAACTTCTGTAACCCTTAATAAAGCTGGCTTCGACTGCCTTTTTTGCATATTTCTTGACATGAAAGCGCGATTGGCTGTTACCTAACATATTTGCATACTTCCATCTACTTCTGCAGCGAATTGCATCCTCTTCAATTCTAATTGGCTTCTGGAAATTAGCATTTTCCTCTCCGTGCTTAACTTTTGGAAGTGAGTGTATATTTAAAAGCATTACGAACTACTCCTTCTGTTTATATTAACTGATGCAGTTGATAGCCAGGTCTGTATATTTATATTACTCAACTTACATTAACTTACATTCCAAAATAAAATAGCACAAATAAAAAATACTGCAGCAGAATAAAGGTTAACATTCTCCATTCTCAAGAAATTTCACCGTAACAGGCATAGGGCTACATCTAATGGCAAAAAGATACAAATTAAATTTGTGTAAAAATGCATATTATGATAAACCCTGCCTAACAGTGCATTTAAATGGCAATTCATATATGATACACCTGGCTGTGTGATACAGTTGGCAGCCAATGCACTTAGACCTATCCCAAAAGGGTTAAGAACTACTGTTCTAAGACATAGCACTAAAATTCAGGATGTCTTGTCCCCTACTGCAATTTTGACATTTTATATGTTTTTTGTTTTCATTGTTGACATTTAAAATGAATTTACCATATTAATAAACAAGGTTTATCTCTCAAATCAATATTAAAAAATCATTTATTTTCTGTGTAGTGATAATGTTCGTGATTGTGCATCAAAGTAGAGATCAAATGAATACAACTATCTGATGAAGCCAGAAAAAGTTAAGTCCCGTTGGCGACGTAGCAGCGAAATGGAATGTTGTGAAAAGGCTGGGGCATCACCTTTAGAATTTGATTTAGATGGATCATCAGATGTATGTATCAAAGAAACAGCAATTGAAGTTAAATCAGTCTCTAATGATTCAGTAGATGGCTCAGAAAGTGTGAATGAAAGCATTCCTGTGTATGATGTTTTAGAAGAAAATTTATATCTGTTTGAAAGGTAAATAAATACTTCTGTTGAGTAATTTTTTTTTATAGTGTGCTATCTATCTGCATTATCTAATAGTAATTTTATTTTTATGACCAGGAAACGAACTAAGCGGAAGAAAGAAGTTCGGCGTATGTTATGTGATTGCTCATTAAATAATGAGGAAAAAAAGACTGGAGTTTTGGGATGTCTAGATGAATGCTTAAATCGATTATTGATGATTGAATGGTAAGGCAAATGGTTTTATATTAATAAGCCTATGTTTTTATTGAAAACTGTGGATGATATTAATAAGCCAATGTTTTTAATGGAAACTGTGGATGAAATAACTGGGTATTTATAGTTTTGTGCTCAAGAATGTCACATTTGCATCCATTTCAAAATTTAGCCTTCACAAACTGCTTAAAGTCCTTTTTTCTTTTTTTGGTTGGGGTTGTGAAATTTTCAAATTAACTGGCTTGCCAAGTTCTCACCAAAACAGTGCCAATCTAAATACAAACTATTTTTGGCAGCCATAATTCCAGAATTGCTGTGAGAATTGGTTAAAATTTAATTAGTGTATGTGTTTGGGGATTGACAGAATTATAGGACTGGTTTATAGTAAATGATTCTATCAAGATTTTGTTATACCTCTTCTAGTGGTCACTACACATTGTTGCTGGATTCAGCATAGCTAACAGTATTTTGGACACAAAACATCTTACTGTTAGCATGGCTAACATTAAAGTATTTTGAAGTTGCTGTTAGGAATTTGAACCAGAAAGTACTGTCCTATTTTGCGGCATAGACTAAAGTATCCATTCTTTAGGTGAGATCGTTCTGTCATAAAGTTTTCTCGCGTGAAACATGCTTATGAAGCTTTCAGTAAGTAGTAGGTATGCTTATTTGAGTACAAGTAGTTGTTAAGAGGTCACAAATCAACTGAGTAATGGCTGAATAAATGTTTCTTCATGAACAAATAATCTTCTCATTAAAATAGTCGGTTAAACTAGTAATCACTTTAATGAGTTACCCTCAGATTGCCATGACTAGCAAAATGACTGACTGACCAAACTCTTAGAAAACAGTTTGTCTGTTCAGTTCACATTTTGGGAAGCATTCAGCCCTTTGGAATTTCCCAGCTGTGTAGAGTTTCTAAACCACTCACCATTTCTGAATTTTATCTTAATGGTGCAATATACAGTCAAAAGTCGTTTCAGCGAGTCCGGAGTATCAATTTTTCCGGATTATAGACCATCAGTTTAAATTCCGTAAGATGGCATGCAGAAATTATAAAATTAAAAATATAAAACCGTAATTTATGAAATAAAGAACAATTATGATCTAAAGGGTATCAAAATTTATAAAAAAAAAAAGCTTAATATTTATTTGTTTACTTTATTAAACATTTCTTTAAATGTAAGTTGTTTAACCCCTTCGCGCTGACTGTCACGTATACGTGCCAGCAACAAACACACTTATCTACCGGCCGACACGCAGGCGTGCCAGAGCATTGTTGCGTTTTCTACCGACTGTCACGTATTTGTGCCAGTACCTTGGAACGTTTTTCAAACTATAATTTCTGCCACAAGATATTACTGTATGCCCATATGGTTTCAGATACATGTACATTAGACCTTCTACTCGAAATGAGAGAAGCATGACTGACATACACGTGTTTTTGATTATATAAACAAACGGAAAACTAAATGTTTCCGAATGGCGTGATTTATGACGTCTCTTTAAATCGCACTTTATTCGCACGTGGTAGTTGTTTTATTGTAAGTAGAAGTTTTATATGCGCTAAAGTGTTGAGTATTTCGGTTTACAGTTCATTTTTTTAGAAATAATTAGATCTTGTTAGACGTGAATTCTTTCTGTTTTTAACCGTTCCAATGTCGAAGCGTCGAAAATGTTTAACAGAGCATGAAATAGCAGAAATGATGCAAAATATTTTAGATATTGATTCTGAAATTCTGATATTCTGATATTGATTCTGAAAGATTAACTGAAAGACATTTTCCAAAACTTTGTTCAGAAGAGACTGATAACAAAATGAGACGACGATGCTTCGTTTGTTCACATTCCCGGAAAAATCCTCCTAAACGGCAAATGAGTTATTACGAGTTCAAGGAATGTAACGTAGGACTGTGTGTAGATCCCTGTTTTAAAATTTTTCATACGAAAAGCGAATTTTAAGTAATATATTTAGTTTTCTGATGTATAATGTTAAAAGTCATAAAATGGTGAGTAATTAAAATAAAATGTGTAAAATAGGCATTTAAACAAGAAATAAGGTAATTAAAGTATATATATAAAAATATCTATAAAGCATAAGCCGTTTAAATACTCTATAGAGCATTATTAAACAATGCGTTGATACTTCGGAAATTTCATTGATTTAGGCTTAGTAGCAAAAAAGCCCCCGTCCCTGGACCTCCGCGATAAGCGCCCGTTTGCGCTACCCGGCGTAAAGGGGTTAAAGAATTGGCTTTCAATCTGGCGAAACCAAATACTTGGATTATCTTCCCAAAACGGCGGTACTTTAACTGAGATTCTGTTGATTGCAGGTGCTTGCATTGAAACGATAGTATCGTCGACAGACATGTTCAAATGATTAAAAACGTGTTCTTCTTAATGCTGTAGTCACCAATTTGGGGTCGGATTAATGGCTAGACACCCAATATAAAAATAATTCTTTAATAATCAAAATATGTCATGGCATAAATAACAGAATCTCAGCGATGAGTAAAACGCATACATGAACTACAGTCAAAAGTCGTTAATCGGACTCGTCGGGACTTCGGCGATTCCTTATTATCGATTTTTTCAGATTATAGATCATCAGTTTAAATATGGTAAGATGGCATACAGAAATTACAAAATTAAAAATATGAAACCGTAATTTATGAATTAAAGAACAATTATGATCTAAAGGGTGTCAAAATTTACAAAAAGAAAAAGTGTAAAGATTTAAAAAAGGTAAATCGGAGGCCAATGATAATTAAGTAGAGGCTTTATTAAATGATGGAATTTCAAGCACATGGCACATGGACATTCATGCTCGCGGAAGAAACTGCCGGCCTCCGCGATAAGCGCACGTTTTTGGCTACCTGGCTCGAAGGGGTTAAGTTGTTTCATTTTATGTGATAATACTTTCTCTTTAATTCTTTAAACAGACATAATTTCTTGTTCAGTTACAAAGTTCCGCTGTTCAAGTCCTATAATTGCTATGTTGAGAATACCGACTAATTTGTCAATCGAAATTTTTTCGTTTTCAATAACCTGTGTATCACTTTTTTCACTATCGGAAGCGAATTATAATGAGGAGGAATTTGGTTTAAATCATATCAAAGATGGAGTACATTGAGATGAAATACTACATTTAGTAAGGAATTATAAGCCAAATAAAATAAAAACATCTGCCCTGAAGATAAGGATAGTGCTGACAGATCAACTTCCAATTCATTGCGTGCCGCAGCGTTTCCCCCATTCCCCACCGCAGAGCAGCGTGAAATCGATAAACAGATTTCGGAATGGTTTTAGAAACGAAGGATATGCCTTTATCCATTTTTTACAGCAATTCCACTTTCTGTTTAATGGACTTTGAAACATACTTTCGCTTTGTAGATCCTTTACATATTAGTAAATATATATCGGAAATTCTATTTGACATAATCGAAAGTTCAAGCTTACTTTTATAAAATTGCTCTAACAGTCTGCAAAAAATAATAAGCCGGATCCAATTCGAAGATTAAGGAACAACGCAATCTGCAACATTAACTGAATTAGATAATTTTAGCTTAGCTTATACCGTCCGTTATACATTAAACGCACATACGTAAATGTATTATGCGCATGCGCACACGCATATTCGCAGCCGTAAAGGTCTTACACGCACGCGTCAATGCGAGGCATGTGCAGAAAGTTTGTAGCTTTGAGGTCCGGATTATAGATCATTCCGGGTTATGGGTATCCGAATTAAGGACTTTTGACTGTAATAACTATTTGTTTATTGTGTCATGTCCATTAACTCTTTAAAGGGCACTGGTATATAATACCAGCAGTTTGTCAATTTTTTTACTTTTTAAAAGATGCTAATTTTTCTATACCTAGAGCTGAGCTGTAATCTTAATTTTCTAGTGTTTCCTTTTGGTTTTAAATGGCAGTACTACCCTGTGAATGCTCAACACTTTGCAGTTATGAAATTAATATACTTTGTTCAAAGGTATCATATTTGAATATTCATAAATTCTATTGGAGGGGAGGAAAAAATTCAAAATCTTCAAATATATGATGCACACATACTGAAACTTATATATATTTACTGCATTTCAATCAACACTGATAATTAAAAGATTATTTATATGGTTTTAATAGCAGTATATAAAATATAGCAGCACCCATACTGATTGTACCTTGCCAATACTTGGCAGCACCAGGCTTGTCCATATCTTCTCTGTGGGGTGACAGATTTTAAGATTGTTTATGATGTAATATGATATAGTTGTTTATCATAAAATATTATGTTCATGGGGGGATGGGGAGTTGATGACTTTGTGCTAGGAATGAATAAAAGTATTTTAGTCTCTTTTCACACATTGCTTACTCCAATTGAGTTTTCATTCATCTTTGTCGAGCTAAAATTTTAATTTCAACATATCATCCTTTCACCCAAGACAAACTTGTTGATTTTAAAATTGTCACCTGGTGTCAAAAACTTACACATTTGTAGGAGCTAAATGCGCCATGTTAGCCCCCCCCCCAAAAAAAATGAAAAGAACAGATTGATAGCCAATTCGTTATTTTAGCTGGGTTTAGATAAGATCATACAAACCACTGGTTGATGATACGGTTAATAAGATCACACAAAAGAGAAGCTCACTCACAAACACAGGAAAATAGGCATGCAAATTAGATTTTCACCTGGTAGTGGAGTGGAAAATCTGCTGATTTGAAAGCATGCTTTTTATGTTTTAGGGCAGGGGTGGCCAACAAGTCAATCGAGATGCTAATTTTGGTTGATCGCTCACAATAACTGGAGTGGAATTCCGTATACAATGGACTTTGAAGCGATTGTAGAAGACAAAATCTTTTAGCAATAGTTTAATGCGTTCTAGGAATCTGCTGAGGCCATAAATTCCTAGAATTCTGATAGCCTGACACTGCGATCTCCACCCATCCAGCACAATACATTTTGACTTATGTTTTACACTTGTCACCGGACGCAATGCGTCAACGCAACTGTT